TATGTCTTGCTAAAGATTTACAATCTTCCTTAGAAATAAGACGCCAAAGGGAGACACGCTCAAGCCAGCTGTACTTTTTTACACTATCTTTTCCTAAAGAGGAGCCCACTATTTTTTTTACTATTCTTGTAATGATTTTTGATACTGAATCTGATTCATTATTTCTTTTAAGAATTTTTTTCTCTATACTTGCTAAAGCTTTTAATAATCTATCAAAGATATGTTTCTTGAATAGTTAATTGTGCTGTTCCAAAAATCACAAAGAAAAAACAAAAGTCTCATTAATCCAATCTTGCACCTGAGAAAACAGGATTTTTAGAGTACATTTCTTTGGCTTAGATGGCCAGAGGGAACATCCAGTGACTTCCAGGGAGCTGATTCACATCTAGCAGCATAATTTTATGCTTATATAGCACATTTTTATGCTCACATAGATGACTCTGGAGTTAGTGTGGCATCTTTTTATATGTAGGAGCCTTCATTTATAATGTCCTCTTATTACTGTATCAGAATTAAATCTTTAAGTTTGTAACAGACTTCTCAATGCTCTCTCTAGATCACCCCACACACAACATTCCCATCCACCATTTATGAGCCATTGCATCTATGTCTACAGTTCTACTGTATCAGTCCACAAGAGATATGTCAAAACAATAGTTAAAGGGAACAGAAGAGGGGAAGGCCACCCTAAAAAAGCACATGATTATGATGTTTTTAAGGAAGAGAAGAAACAAAGGAACTATTTTTTTTTTTTTAGAAATAGAGTCAACAAAGTTAATTCTCAATGAGAAATAAAAACAGACTGCAGACAATTGCAAAGAAATCCATGATCTTAGCATTAAGTAGAAAGAAGTGTATGTGCCTGTGGAAATTTTGAAATAAATGCAAGGTCAGAAGAGGATGGGATTGCCATCTTTCAAAGGAATAAATTTTCGATTCAAAAAGCAGAGTCAACTGATGGCATTCACGGCATTATATATTGCACTCCAATTCTTTGGCGAGTCTATTTAAACTATAGGAGAAAAAGCAAGAGGAGGATTAGTCTGAAGCCATTCTCAGTGCAACATCTGGAGAAGAGAAACATAAAAAAGGAACTGAAATAAATGGAAATAAGAATGAAAAAACCCAGTCAAAGTCAATTTGGATTTTGGAAGAGATAATTCAGTGAGTGAAGATGTTTTGATGACTGAGTAGTATTCCGTTGTGTAAATGTACCACATTTTCATCATCCATTTTTTTCACTGAGGGACATACTGGCTGTTTCTAGTTTCTGGCTATTACAAAATGGATAGGCCACTTTGGTCTGCATCAGTCAGTAGCCTGAGAGGACTGTAATAGGATTTGAAGTCTCTATTGTAAGAGATCACTGGAAAATACTAACAACTGAGCTCCTATACCTCTGCTGGCATGGTTGCCTTCCCCTCATGCAATTTTAGATTGACAATTTAGATTGACAAATGACAATTGCATGTAGTTTAAATTGACAAAAGGCAGATGCTTCTTGCTGGACTGGGAATTGTTTAATCATTCTTTCTAGTCCCAAGGCATTTACTGTATCCTTTTGGAGCTGACATTGTAGGCTGCTGCTGGTGTTAACTGTCTTACACATGCTTTTGCAATCATGATATGTAGATAGATGATAGATAGATAGATAGATAGATAGATAGATAGATAGATAGATGGATAGATAGATAGATGATATGTGTAGACATATGTAGACACAGATACATCAATATAGAGATATATTTTCTGTGTGATACGAAAAGTATGATCTGAGAGTGATTTTTAGTAGTTAAGGCTGGAACAAAAGAAATTGGATTTCTCCAGTCAGCTGTCAAGGGAATTGGTACTACCTGGCAAATGACTGCCAATAGAACAGCATACTTTATGAAATTATTCTTTTTTAGCAAAATCAAGTATATGGAAAGACATAAGTATGCTCATCAAGTTTCTGGCATGAGCACATGATGATATATAAACATGCATTAGTGTGTACATATATGTATGTATGCACATGTGTAGTCAAAAAAAAGTAAAGTGTTTTTCACATATATATAGAGAGAGGAGGACAGGGGTGGACAAGGCAGCTGTGTAACCTTTTACTATTTCAGCCTAACACCACATCAAAAACTGTGGCAGTGGGAGGTGAGTAGACAAGTCAAATTTGTCATTCTCATGAGTGATGGTTTCAATTCCTTTACCCCACCACCCCCAATCACATCTTTCCTGGAAGCCCATAGCAGTGATTATTCTCCCCAATCCTGCAACACATACAAGTCCTCAAATGTCTAGGGGTCATTTAACTACTGGATCATCTTTTCACCTCCTCAGATTTCAAGTGCTTTCCCACTACAAGCCTTCCTTAACTCTACATAAGCCACAGTTCTAAAGTTCTGGAGATGACTCTCAATTCCACTACTACTATCAGCTGAAGCTGTTTACTTTGTAGGGAAGAACAAAAATAATCTATCAGGAGCATATAAATAGAACAGAACCAACTTTGATGAAGTAAACTTCCCAGGTGACCAATTAAGCATTTGTTCCAATTGGAATTAAACTCAGCTATGTGCAAAGTAAAACCTAAAATAGCAGGGCTGTGAGAACCATAGTTCAATCTCTCTCACACTAAAACAAAAAGGAGACCATCTGGTGGGGCAACTCTGTGGTCAGCAGCCACTGTCCTTCTATTGATCTTTTTTTATCTACTTCAATTAGTAGCTTCCATCCTCAGTGTTATCCATAGCTCCTATTACCTCTGAGACCTCCAGGCATCACACCAGGACTGCAGTTCCACTAATAAGTTAGAAAACAAAAGAAAATTTTTCCTTCTTTTTAAAGTTTAAAGGGCTGTCCTAAAAAGATCACGCATCTCATTTTCCAAACCTAATGATCAGGTTAGATGAAAGAAAACTGAAATAGACTAGTAGCTATGTCTATCCTTACAGTATTGGAGTTATGATATTTAGCAATGTATGAGTTACTTGCAAAACTGAAGTTACATTGTTGGGTAATGTATAAGTTACTTAATTCCACAAATGTGCTACATTTGTGGCAGAGACTGATCATTTGTCTGGGAACAGCGCAGGCTCATGTCTGACCATCCTGACTGTCTGAGCTTCCCCAAGTGTCTATGAAAAAACTGACTCCTGGATCTTTCAGCCAGCTTCAACAGAGAGTCAGAAAGTCTGGATTGACATGGATCATATATGCTCTCTTCTCATCCTCAGGCTGCTCAGCACTCCATTGTCCCATAGAATGGAAAGTAGGAACACTCAGAACCTCTTGAGAACCAAGCTCAAAATTGGTACACCGCCATTTATGTATCGTTTTATTTGTTTAAAAAAAAGTACTTTGAGTGGATAAAAAGGGGCCATAAGCTCCGGATGGAAAGAACTTTGAGGTGTACAGAATAGAAAATGAAGGGAGAAGTGGGTTGAAGATTTAGTCATGAAAAGAATTGTCTCCCACGGTTAGAACAGGGAAGACTGACAATGAACCAAACAACTTGCAAACTCTGCCCCCAGTTTTTTCTAGTCTGCTACAGAAGTATGTTACTAGATCTCTTCCCTTTCTACTTCCTGCCTTAAGCATGACATGTTGCAATGAAACATGTAAAAGGAGCTTAGCCTTTAGATGAATTTGAGCGACAATTACTAATTACTTACTGCTTGACACTTAGTGAGTTTCTACTGTTAATGTACGCATTAGCCATGGTATTAGCATTGTTCCTGCTCTTTATTATGTGCAGATATTTGGTAAGTGTACACCAACCCTCATTCTTTTTCTTCAAGTCAACTAGCCTGCATTGTCTAGGCTTCCTACCAGTTGCTGTGGTCATATAACAAAGTTCTTGACAGTTGAATCTGAGCAGATGGGTCACTAATTTATGGCCTGATCCATAAACTCTCCCACAGTCCTCTCCTCTCCTTTCTCATCTGCTGAATAGAAACTACTCTGAGAGGGACAGGGAGGAGGACCTCCCCTATCAGTGGACTGGGGGAGGGGCATAGGTGGGAAAGAGGGAGGGATATTGGGATTGGGAGGGTAGGTTGGAGGGAGCTATAGGAGGGAACAAAGTGAATAAACTGTAATTAATAAAAATAAATTTTAAAAAATGTGTAAAAAAAAAAGAAACTACTCTGAGAACAGAGCCATAAACTAAAACAGTAGCTTAGAGCAACACCCCATTACCCTCTGCCCTGGCCTCATCAATGACATTAAACTGTGGAATGGGCTAAATTAAACTTTTCAAACACCATCTGAGGCTACCATCCTGGTATCCTCAGGTACAGGTATTAATTTTCTCCTTAGAATTTTACTAAAAATGAATTAGCCGAAGTCATGGGTCACTTTGCCTAAAATATGATTCTTTAAACTAATAACATTTTTAAAAAGGGATTACTATCTATATCAAGTGAAGACAATGTCTTAGATTATTGGTTTGGAGATTAGCCAGTATCTTACCCTTACCCACAGTGATCCATCCCCACCCCGGGAAGTCAGAATGCAGACAGCAAAGGGACCTGAGACACTAGCACTGTACACAAGAAGGGGATTTTCAATGTTATCTAAATGATACAGGCACTGCACTTTTTAACTTCTACTAACAAAAGGTAATGAAAAACAAACACATGGATGCTGGTCATGCATTCAATGATTAATACAAAAGACAACTGTCATGCTATTTGGTCACAGGCAAGCAAAGAAAGGAAGAAGGACAGATAATGGCTGGGCTCCACTGTTCAAAAAAGCCAGATGCTGAAGATGATGGTTGGCAGGGAACCTGACAGTGCAACATTTATGATCATATACAGTGAATCTAGGAACAAGAAGTTGATGGACGGCATTCTAAGAGGACTTGGGTGAAGGAAAATCGCCATCACTGTTGTTCACCTTTTGCTAAGCCATATTCTCCTCTGGCCTGAGAAGTGGGGAAGGGAAAGAGTAGATGGATCATGCAGAGCATATGTGATGGTAAGCACCAAGCTTTGCATACATAGTCATACTGCATGGCTTCCACCTGTTTCGTGAATTCTAACAAACATGAAGACATCAGGAACAGGTAAGCTAGATTGCAAAGAGAAACTTGATTGCAAATGGTTGTTTTCATGTATTGTGTCAACAAAATAGACTTCCAAAAATCTGGATGTTCATGTTCTAGAAATGCATAAAACAAAAACAAACAATGTAAGTACAATTGATCGGGAATGAACAGAAGAACACAGAAATCTAGAACTTCTAAACAAACTCTTATAATGTTCCAGCAACTTTATTTCTAACTTGAAATCCTGAAAGAGGAGGCCAGGATAGATACCTCCTTAGTCATAACTGCAGCAAGGCAGACGCTCTTTCCAGAGCTGTGGGCACCTGTGCTTGGGCTCCACTATTCAAAAAGCCTGATGCTGAAAAGGGGCTGGCAGAACACCCATGTGAGGCCACATAACATACTTTCCCATTCCACTGTGAACACCAACTTAGGACAATGTGGTTTTATTTTTTTCTACTGAGACTTAACATTTCAGGTTTAGATACCTACCTGAGATTAATTCTCTTCTTGAAAAATCTAAATCCTATGATGAGCAGAACAATCCCCAAAAGGTTACATTTCACATAAAGAATGGTCAGCAAGGAATGCAGGGAGAAGGGAGTAACTGTAAATACAGGCAGTGGTAGAAAGTCAAGTCAGTTTAATAACAGTTGTAAGGAGAAATTAGAGGCAAACAGTTTTAAAGTCATTATAAATATTCCTAAAGTTTTAGGTAATTTGAAAAATCAGAAAATCTTACCAACTATAATTCAAATAAAACTCATCCTATTATTTTAACATCAAGTCTAGTTTTTGTGCTTGATAGACATCAGCAAACATTTTGAAATAAATAAATGCACATTAAGTATTATTAATACTTCCCAGTTATGTAAGGGGAAAAGTTCCCATGCTAACAGATAGATAAGCAAATAATACGTGCATATGTATGTACTTACATACATATACAGACAAACAAATAAATAAATAAATAAATAAATAAAGGCAAAAAACTTTAAAGCTGTGCTCTTCACCTCTACTCAGTTCTATGGAAAGATTCCGGTTGCCAGTCGAATGGGAGACAAAACAGATCACAGTAGACACATTGTTCTGTTCCCAGTGGCATGTGCTCCTGACAGTCACTGTGCCATTGCTGTGTGGTTCACTCTTAGTGGTACAATCCCCATCTGGAGTCCAGAAGATCTGCGCAGCCGGCTTGCCTGCATTTGCCTCACAAACAGCAGTTCTATTTTTGCCTAGAAATAGGGTTACTTCAAGGGGGACTGTAGAGATAGAAGGGGGAAAATATTAAGTTGTTTCACAAATTACAAAGACATTTGTTTCTATCTAAAATCTGGTGACCTGAAATACCACACTATGTGATAGTGTCACTTACCCAGCACTTGGAGGTCATGTCCTTTTTGGAAATGCCCATTACTTGCTGCTATCTCACATGAGTAATATCCAGCATGCTCGAGGGCCACTGTGGTGATCTGCAGCTCAGAACTCAGGTCAGGTGTGGAGGCCCAGGTGATTCTCCTGTCAGTACAGTTTTCCCTGGTCTCCTTTGTGTCTGCTTTATAGGCTATTATGCAGACAGGTCCGCCTCTGGGGGTTATTACCCATGTAATTACTAATGCCTTTGTCAGTGGAACAGGAGGGCAGCTCAGCAGAACCTTTGTACCCATCTGTACAGACACTGTAGTGTTAGCTGGACACACACAAAGAGAATGAGAAAAGGAAACCTTGTGTGTTAAGTCTATATACAGCAGCTTATGTTGAATTACACGAGAGCATTGCTTGGCTGATGAATGTGTTCCAGAAATATTACATTTTTCTCACATTTTTTGTTTCTGTATGTTCAATATATCATAATTAAAAACATTATTCATCTCCTAATGTAAAAATTCAAGACCTATGGGCTACACACATCTTGCATCATAAAACCTAACATTGCCTGTACACTTACTTAAAGAGTCCATGACAGATACAAGTTTGCTGAGTCGTGATTACTCAACAGAAGTATCTGTTACAATCAGCTGTGACAAAAGTCAGTAATTCCATCACTTTAACAGGAGCAGAAATTGCTGTGAACAAGCCTTGCTTACGATAAACATTGCATCAACTATCTCAACTCTCCTACTTCATTGTCACTTGCCTCTTGGAGTACTCAAGTCCTCACAAGTCACATCCAACTGATGCTTATCTAACCAGATGAAGAAAGAAATGCTTCAGCACAGGCCTGGAAGGGTGCTAACCCCACAGTCTTCCAGCACTCTAAGATGGCAAAGGTTTAGAGGCAAATGTTCATAGGCCCTCACCACATAACACTCACATCACCAGATTCTCCTCCTCATCCTAAATCTGTCCAGCAGCTGAGGAATTAATTTCTGTATGTAAACAAGATCAACTCTCCATTCCCACAGTGCTGGCCACAAGATAAGGAAGAATATTACCTTCTGCAGGTAATGAACTGTTCTGTGTTGTTTGATTCATATCTGCACAATGTGACTCTAGAAAATATTTAAATATTTAAATGATTGTAAGAATGTAATTTGAAATTGTATCATCACTGATATGTCAACATCCTGAAAATTACAGTTATAAGATATCAATCAGATGGGGGCAGGACAAGATGGCAGCACCGGGAGGACTCTCATTCTAAGCAGCAGCAGCAGGATCAGCACAGTGACCAGCAATCAGAACTCACGGCCATAAAACACAGTCATTGTGTTTCCCAGGTGAGAGGATACCCCACGGTGAGGGATTCAATCAACTTTTAACTCACCCGGCTAAACCACGGAAGAAATCCCGGTTCTGCCAGATGCTTGGCTGCCGGCCGCCAGCCCCAGCCCCCCCCTCAGAGCCACAAGCCAGTGTCTGTAGTCATGGTCCCAGACTGAACCGTGTGCACCACACTATCAGAGACTGGAATTTTCAGTCGAGAGATAACCCCACGGTACAGGAAACGATTGGGACCGACCTTAGGTCACCCAGACATCCCCTGGAAAAGACTCGGGTTCCACGGGTGCCCCAGGAGCCAGCCCGGAGCCAGAGCCGGGGACCCAGGCTCCAGCAGAGAGCCCTGCCTTCCTGCATGCCTGATTCGCAGCCTGAGATAGAACTGTGGACACCAGGGCACCAGCTAATGAGTTTCACTGTCCAGTGCAAACACACAGGGAGGGAAATAGCTGGTCTGATCTCAGAGCACTCAGGCGACACCCTCACCCTGAAAAGCTCTTGGGAAAATTACCTAGTTTAGGCAGACACCCAGGCTCCCAAAGGCCAGAAAGGGAGACACAGGCAGTTTCTGAGCACCAGACAACTGGCAGAGACAGAGCAGTGCGCACCAGGGCAAAAAAGAGACTGGGAGTCCCTGTCTCCAGAGAATCCACAAGGAAGGAAGGAAACTGTACTGACTTAAATCACCCAGTCCTTCCCTGGAAAAAGTCTAGCAAAGACCGGTAGAGCCAAGCAGCCTTCACTCAGCTATGACCAGACATGGGCACAAACAGTTGCTGTGTGCCAGATGTCCAACTGGGTCACAGCAGCTTATCATTAAATTTACAGCAAGAAACCCAGAAACAGGGCAGCTGTCCTCAGGACTTCCCTGGGTGAGAGGAGAACCCTCTCAACTAACAAAGACCACAGTTACCACTCAGGTCTCTATCCCTGAGGTGAGAAGCAGCAACTCCTGAAAAAAATGCCAGCCATCCAGGGACTATAACCAAAGAGCTGAGAAGATATCCTTCAGGAAAAACCAGCTTTCTGCAAGGGGATTTTCTCCACCACAGGATCCCCAGGAACCACCAGAAAATAACTCCTAACACCTAAGATAGCACAATGGGTAGAGCCCAGCATAAAAGCTCAAGGACAAAAGACAGAGCAATATGGCATCTCCAGAACCCAGTTACCCAGGGGCAAGTAACCCTGGACACACAGCATAACTGAAATCCAAGGAGATGACCTAACAACTATGCTCATGAAGATGATAACAGAGGAAACAAATAAGATATATAAAGACATAGAGGAAGATAAACTCAAACAGAATATTGCCATCTGTAAAGAAATGGAGGAAGTTGCAGCCAAACAGTTTGTGGCCTTTAGAAAGGAAATGCTTAAAGCACTGAATGAAATAAAAGAAACAGAATTGAAGGAACTAAGAGAAAAACAGAAAAGTACAATCAGACAGGTGAAGGAAGTAAACAAAACAACTCAAGACCTGAAAATAGAATTGGAAAAATTAAAGAAAACACAAATGGAGGAAATAATAGAGAGGAAGAATCTAGGGAAGAAAACAGGAAATACAGAAGAAAGCATAACCAAAAGACTACAAAAGATGGAAGAAAGAATCTCAGGTGTAGAAGATACAATGGAAGAAATCGATGTATCTGTCAAAGAAAATGTTAAATCCAAAAAATTCCTGACACAGACAGTCCAAGAAATCCAAGACAATAAGAAAAGACAAAACCTAAGAATAATAGGTATAGAGGAAAAAGAAGACTCCCTTCTCCAAGGCCCAGAAAATATTTTCAACAAAATCATTGAAGAAAATTTCCCCAAGTTAAAGGAGAGGCCAATAAGAATACATGAGGCCTACAGAACACCCAACAAATTTGACAAGAAAAGAAAATCCTCCCGCCACATAATAATCAAAACAGTAAGTATACAGAACAAAGAAAAAATACTAAAAGCTGCAAGGGAAAAAGGCCAAGTAACATATAATGACAAACCCATTAGAATCACACCTGACTTTTCAACAGAGACTATGAAAGCCAGAAGGGCCTGGACAGATATCATGCAGACCTTAAGAGAACACAGATGTCAGCCCAGGCTACTATACCCCGCAAAACTCTCAGTCCTCATAGACGGAAAAAACAAGATATTCAATGACAAAAACAAATTTCAACAATACCTACAAAAAAGCCAGCATTACAGAACTGGAAGGGAAAATACAACCCAAGAAAATTAGCTTCTGTCAAGAAAACACAGGAAATAATTAACCTTACTACAATAAAACAAAAAGCAACCAAGCACACAACCTTATGAACACAGCCAACATCAAAATCAAGGGATCTAATGGCCACTGGTCATTAATCTCTCTCAACATCAATGGACTCAACTCTCCAATAAAAAGACACAGATTAACAGAATGGATATGTAAACAAAACCCAGCAATCTGTTGCATACAAGAAACACACCTAAGGCACAAAGATAGACATTACCTGAGGATAAAGGGTTGGAAGACAACTTTCCAAGGAAACGGACGCAAGAAGCAAGCAGGAGTAGCCATTCTAATATCTGATAAAATAGACTTTCAACCAAAATTAATAAAAAGAGATAAGGAAGGACACTTCATACTCATCAAAGGAAAATTCCACCAGGAAGTCATCACAATCCTGAACATCTATGCCCCAAATACAAGAGCACCCACATTTGTAAAAAAAAACATTGATAAAACTTAAACCACATATAGATCCTCACACATTAATAGTGGGAGACTTCAACACCCCACTCTCAACAAAGGACAGGTCAACAAAACAGAAATTAAACAAAGAAACAATGTCTCTGACAGAGGTCATGAATCAAATGGACCTGAGAGACATTTACAGAACTTTACACCCAAACACAAAAGAATTTACCTTCTTCTCAGCACCTCATGGAACCTTCTCCAAAATAGACCATATAGGTGGTCACAAAGCAAGCCTCAACAGATACAAGAAGATTGAAATAATCTTGTCTGATCACCATTGAATAAAGCTGGACCTCAACAATAACAGAAATAGCAAAAAGCCTACACACACAGAAACTGAACAACTTGTTACTAAATGACAGCTGGGTCAGGGAAGAAATAAAGAAAGAAATTAAAGCCTTTCTAGAAGTCAATGAAAATGAAGACACAACATACCCAAACTTGTGGGACACAATGAAAGCAGTGCTAAGAGGAAAGTTCATAGCACTCAGTGCCTTCAAGAAGAAATTCGAGACAGCTCATTCAAGCAACTTTATGCCTCACTTAAAAACCCTAGACAAAGAAGAAGCAGACACACCAAGAAGAAGTAGACGGCTGGAAATAATCAAACTCAGGGCTGAAATCAATCAATTGGAAGCAAATAAAACAATTCAAAGAATCAATGAAACCAAGAGCTGGTTCTTTGAGAAAATCAACAAGATCAACAAACCATTAGCCAAGCTAACTAAAAGGCAGAGAGACACCACCCAAATTAACAAAATCAGAAATGAAAAGGGGGACATAACTACAGACACTGAGGAAATTCAAACAATCATTAGGACTTACTTCAAAAGTCTATATTCAACAAAATTTGAAAACCTAAGTGAAATGGAAAATTTTCTTGATCGATTTGACTTACCAAAGCTGAATCAGGACCAGGTAAATCAACTAAATAGTCCTATATCCCCCAAAGAAATAGAAGCGGTCATCAAAAGTCTCCCATCCAAAAAAAGCCCAGAACCAGATGGCTTCAGCGCAGAATTCTACCAGACCTTAAAAGAAGAGCTAACACCAATTCTCTTCAAACTATTCCACAAAATAGAAACAGAAGAAACATTACCAGACTTATTCTATGAAGCCACAGTCACCTTGGTACCTAAACCTCACAAAGACTCAACAAAGAAAGAGAATTTCAGGCCAATCTCCCTTATGAACATTGATGCAAAAGTACTTAACAAAATACTTGCAAACCGAATCCA